AATACTACAATTACCTAAGCTCATAATCGCTAACCGACAAAAATGAAATAGCTCAGGTAAAGTTAGAAAGCAAATTTGTAAGAAAAAAAGTGGCAGTTCAACCTCTGACCATGAATAGAACAACACTATTATTATCAGAAGAGGTTAAATACGCCACTAAAGCAACCAGAGCTTTTGGATATGCCCTAGGATTTTGTGGCAAAATATGGGGTCTGAAACCTAAAATGATCTGTTGGTCATTGATAGCGGTTTTCATAACCATAGGTACTTATTGCGTTAGTTTGGTGAAACGCAACAAAGCAGTAAAACACAATAACTGAGTTGCAAAAATCGCAAAAATTTGCTTGTCTAGGAATCAAGGATGCAATGAGATCGTACCCCATTGCAACTTTAGAGATAATGCTGCACCCTCCTCCTCTGTATATACATATAAGGAAGATCGCTCCAGAAAGTGTCTGCAGGCTATCATGGGTACAGGATCTAAACAAAAAACAAGCAAAGAAAATACCAAAGACAGCAGCTCATGATATTTAAAAACCAAGATATTGTAGGGCAGCTAACACAAAAAATAGAAAATTCACCAAAATTCAATAATAAAGGAAAGATACGTCAGACGAAGCAGAAAGTGTCATTCTTCTATTATGTAATCTTCATTACAGGATTTTATTCTTCGCATTCTTTGCATTTGTTCTGACTTTGTTGGATGACTTTAAGAGTCACCAACTACCCGGACGTTCAACTCGCTAAGCCAGTACCTTAGAGCTAGGGCCGCCACGACTCCAAGCATCTACTGCCTGTTCCAGCATCACACATAATTCCATATTTTCAAGGGGCGTCCTACAGTCTTTCCTTTTTATTGTTCTGAAGCTATTTTCTTGTGGTATTTTAAAGTAATTACTATTTAAATGGGAATAATGAAATAATAATAAATAATAATTTACTAATGTTTGAATTTTGAGAACGATTTCCGAAGTGGAAATTGAAAAGTCATTAAACTTACTTTAACAATTGTGGCTTATTCCCATGGTAGTCAAAAAGGAATGGAGGGACACAGCGATCGAGAATCCGCGAGATGCCCTTACAAAAGGACTCTCTACTGGACTGAAAGCTCCAATACAAAGAGGTCTTTGGTTTGTTCTTCTTCCTGCTGGAAGCAAAACTGGTTTTGTGGCATGGGCCGAATTAATTGTCTTGGCCAAGAAGACAACCGCTGATTACCACGACGAAATGGACGGGGATCTATATGAAGAATTTCCCGCAAATTTGATTTCTCGAAAAAATTGTGGGACAAAGGCAAATCAAGGATTGGCTAATCGAAAATAACATTTTCTAGGGAAGATTACCTAAAAATTGAATTACTGGACACTGCAGTCGCATTTAGAAACAAGTATAAAATTGAAACACTAAGATTTTGAGACTGCCGCCTTAGCATTCCGAGCTGAACCCGATTAAGATGGTGAAAAGGTATGTGGCTTGAAACAACGTTGATTTTAAAGAAAAAACGATAGAACGGTTGATAAAAGAATCTTACCAATGAGTATATGAGTAAATTTTACATATCTAGGTTCACTAGTTACCGGAGATAACAATGTCTGTGAGAAAGTTAAGAGAAAAATACATATCGCTAATAAAACATATAATAGACTGATTCAAACATCTAAGATATAACAACATCACAAGAAAAACCAAATGCAAAATATACAAGACTCTGATAAAACGCGTCCTTGTATATGGATCAGAGACATGGACATGTCGAAAATGCGATAAGAACCTATTAGGTACATTTGAACGAAAGATTCTTCACACACACACTTATATATACTATATATATATATATATATATATATATATATATATATTTATATATATATAGTATATATATTGATAAAGTTGTATTTTATTAATTTTATTTTTATTTATAATAAAATGTAATTTTTAAAATATGTGGTTCGTTGTTTAATTTAATATATACCTCAGCTAGCTCAATTATAGTTGTCTAAGCATATCTGTCACTGTGTGACGTCGACTCTGTAGTACTCCTGGTAGAGTTCAAAAGAAATTAAACCAAAATTTACTTTAGACCCTCTTGATAAATTAACCCAAATGAAGCACGTTATTTATTAATTTTGAACAAATTTAATATAAACAATAAAATTCTTCTGCAACTTCGGTTGCTTTAAAAATTTACAAAAATAGGAATCGTTTAAGTCTTAACGTGGTTTAGTGACGTGACAATAAAAATGTATTACAAAATGCGGAGACTCTCTACAAGTACCTAAAAACCTAATAAATATTGCAACGTTTATAAAGTGTTTAAATGAACTATAAAGAAAAAGAAAATGAACACTTTATTCCGCTGACTATTCAAATATAATCAAAATTTCAAAATGATCCCCAAAATTATTGTCCAACCTCACTTTAAAAACAGTTCTGATTTCTTTAAAGGAAACTAACTACTCAAAAATAAATCGGTGAAACTGGAATATCAATCCTCTCTTCGGAAGTTAAGGTACGTACTATTCTATTTTTAATTTAATGATCATTAATAATTTCAATTTTTTAAGGCCTATCGCAATTATGTTAATTCATGAATTTTAATTTTCTCAATTTAAATGACATTTCTATACTCCAATATAATTTATAAGTGAAATTGTTTTCTTACTCTCTGGAACAAATTTCTGGATATCTCTGCTGTGGAAACTGTGGAAAAACTAAATTCTAATTAGACGAGTTAAAAAAACACTCCCGACCTATTCCACAGTTTCAGGGCTCTCCTTCGTCCAAAAAAAAAACCTCGTCAGGCGTCCTCTCCAAAAACCAATTCCCTATTATTATCCGTTGCTAAACAGCAACCAACGTTCTTTTTTTTTTCTGTCTCTTCTATTTAAATATTTTAAACCATAAAACTGTCCTGTTTGACATATTTGTCAAGCCACATTACTTTCTCATAATCACTTTAATCACATATAATTTGGGAATTTACAAAAAAAAAATGTTTAGATATAAAACTTATTCATTACATACTAATTTATTAAAACCAATTCCCTTATTATCCGTGCAACAGCAACAACGTTCTTTTTATTCTGTTCTATTTAATATTAAACATAAAACTGTCCTGTTTGACATATTTGTCAAGCCACATTACTTCTCAAATCACTTTAATCACTATAATTTGGGAATTTACAAAAAAAAATGTTTGTATAAACTTATTCTATTACAATACTAATTATTCTTTCACCACATCATTTAATTCTTATTTAACAAACCCCTATTAATTTAGCTCCCACAGACTGTCAAAATAAACTGTCAAGCAGTTTATTTTCTGACGTTTATTAAAATTTCTATGTTTAAATATTTTTTTAAAATTCTTCTTCTTTTGTTCTTTTTAAGGTTTAGACGATTCACTATACACTAGGCAACTATACTATTCAGAAATTATTAACACTGTACCAGGTAAGTCAAAATAATTTATTTAACAATTTACTAATGCTTTTTAAGTCCAAAATAACAGAGGTATGAGCTAGAAACGCCGAACAAAACTTCAGTATAGACCAATATAATATTTTGAGGTAGTAAATAGTTTACATATTTGGGTTTCTCTCATAACAAACTGATAATGACACATCTGAAGAAGTTAAACGAAGGGGCACTGCTAGCAAACAAATGTTATTTTTGGACTAAGCAAGCAGCTAAAAAACAGAAATTAAGCCAGAAAACCAAACTAATAATATATCGAACACTCTTCCTACCAGTGTGACATATGGGTCAGAAACATGGACCATCTCCAATAACAGACGCAAATCTTCTGCTCGTCTTCGAAAGGAGATACAAGAAGAATAATGGGCGCATGTCTGTGAAGATGGTATTTGGAGAAGGCGATATAATTTCGATTGTACGAGAAGTATAAAAAATAGTAAATGGTAGAGATGTAATATCTTCATAAAAATAGGTAGCATTAGATGGGCTGAGACATGTGTCAAGAGCAAATTGAAAATTACCCACCCAGACGAACTCTATTATCGGTCCCCAGTGGGAAAAATAGGAGTAGAGGCAGACCACGACTGAGATGGAGGGACGGTGTGGACGAGGACGCCAAGGAAAGATCGGCCGCGGCAAAATTGGCAACGGGTTTTCGTATGAACAGAAATGACTGGCGAAATAGACTGGGGAAGGTCAAGGCTCAACTAGAGACTGTAGCAACACTGATGATGATGATGACTAATCTTTTTCTCTCTTTTATTTCAGAGTCGAACCACATTGTGCTGGCTTCATGAAATTCATAAACAACAAACTCATATAAAAAATCCATTAAAGTTGATATATTTTAACATATTAAATCATTTCAATATAATTATGATATATATATATATATATATATATTATATATATTATATATAAGGGGGGTAAAGGAAAATGACATACGGCGCAGAAGATATAAACTTTGAACTATACACAGCATACAATGAACCCGAGATCTCAACATCCATAAAGATCGGACGTCTGCGCTGGATTGGCCATGTTGAACGGATGTTGAGGACTGAAACACCAAAACATATAGTGAGGGCAAACACCAGTTAGGGAGAAGGTCAAAGGGGAAGACCCAAACTTTGATATATGGAACAAGTGAACACGATCTGAAAAAACTAAGTGAAAAACAAAGCAGGAACAGAACAGAATGGCGAATAATCCTAAAACAAGCAGGACCTAGAGAGGGTTGTCGAGCTATGATGATGATAATGATGATGAATTAGATTGTAAATGGCATAATATAAGATTCATTTTGACGTTAATAAAACAGTATTTTCTTGCAAATTTTTTGTGTACCATTTAGTTCAAAATCGTCCTATTGCCAATTGTCACCCTGTACATTACAAATGCACATCTATCGAAATAAGGTAGAGGCCCAAATAGCAAATTTTTTGTTGCCTATGAGCTTATTCCAAACGTATATATTTATCTTATGCATGGTTGATTGTTAGCTAATTGATTTGTTAACTTACTTTGGCCATGACTTGACTTTTCTCCGCAGAAACTCCATCGATTTCAACTCTCGCTCGAGTAGCCCGAGCTGCGTTGTTTTCTTCGTACGAAACATCACCTGCTTGAAGTATTTTCATTTCCGCGATTTTGGCACTTTCTTTTTCGGCACTGATTCCATCTTTCATTACCTGAGGACAAATAAATAATAATTATTACTACTGGAAAGTTAGCTTGTCTAATTTCAATACAATGGCTGTTTTGTATTGTAAGCAAAGGTTTGGTCATTAATAATTGATAAAGGCTATTTTTGTATTGGGAATATTGATTTTTTAAAAGCAGTGGTTTGTTTTGAATGAATAAAAATATCAAGAGAAATATCCTTGAAAAGGTGTTAAATAGTGTTGCCAATTTTTAAGTACACGTTATTTCCGAAGAAATTACCGAAAGTGTTAATATTAATAAATCGCATCGACTGTTTTTTAGTTTAAAATAATTTGCATTTACAAAAACAACAAACAAAAATATTTTCAATTAACAACTAATTTTTTTAAACATTATATACTTAACAACGCAAAAATCTTAACGGTAATTTGGTCATTATGTAAACTTAATTATTGGTATAAAAACCTTGAATTTAAATTTAAAAGAAGCTATTAATTAATTAACAAAATCTCTTTAATAATAAATTAGAGATCCAAGCAATATAAATCTTTCATTGGCCATCATTTTACAATGTTAAAAAATCTTTCTCACGTTCCCATACCTTTTTATTACAAAGTAAGCTATACTGTGTATATATGTAACACTTTTATTTATTAAATTATATAGAAATATAATTAATAACATGAATGAGATATTGCTGCAATGGACTAAGTAAATGGAACAGCTGTTTAATGATGAAAGAGTCATTAGATACATCAGAAATTACCGAACCATCAATACTACGACAAGAAATAGAATATGCCGTTAAAAACACGAAGTAAAACAAAGCTACGGTACCGGATGATCTGCCCACGAAATTATTTAAAATTACTTGATATGAAATCCACAGAAAGATGTTTACCGGCTAACTAGAACGAACTGTAGGGAATTACCAAACAAGAGAAAGAGGAAACACAAAAAAAAACGAAACCGCTTTACATATATGGAAAACCTCAACAGAGAGAAAGAATTTCAGAGCATTCAAAAGACAACGCCAAAAGTCAGAATGGCGAACCTTTATTACAACAAGGAAAGATGTATCTGAATAGATAGGTAGAATACTTTAACCAGGCAATTAATATAGAGGAAGAAGAAGAAAACCTGGAAGGCGAAAGAGATGAGGTAAGAGAAACAGAGAAGATGGAATAGGAAGCACCAACGATTCTTGAAGTTAAAGATTCAGTTAAAAAAACTAGCCAGAAACAAATCACTTGGAATAGATCATCTTCCAGCTGAACTATATATAGAAGGTGGCCCCGATACCATAATGGTATTCCTCTCCTCAATCTTTAGCCCTTGTCAGGGCGTAGTGACACCCTAAATATTGTTAGTCTGCTGTCTCCATTGGACTGCGATCTTGTGCCATATGGACGGCTTCATGTAGGGATTTTCCCACAAACTCTTCATTTGGTCTACCCATCGTATTGGAGATCTTCCTCTAGGTCTTCGGCCTTCTACCTTTCCTTCTAATACCATAGTTCCATGGTGCCCGTTCTTCTAGCTTTGTGGCCGAAGTTAGGTATGCTTGGTTTACTTTTTTTAGTAGCCTGTCTTTTATATGCAGCTCTTCCAGAATTGACAGGTTGGTTCTATGTTCTGTCCAGGACACGCGTAGAATTCTTCTATATAACCCACATTTCGAAGGCTTCGATCTTACTCCTATCGATTTTTTGAGAGTCCATGTTTCAGCTGCATATGTAGCAATGGGAAAAATAAGAAATAATAATGGCATTACAACAGCTTATAAAAGTAATATTGGAGACAGAAATCCCCTCCCCAATGAGTTGGAATATTGGAATACTTTGCACCATACACAAAAAAGAGATATCTTTGAATGCTCTTACCACAGAGGAATTACGCTTAAATGCAGCGTATAAAATATTTTCCACAGTACTGTCACCATATGCAGAATGGATAGTTGGAAAATACCAGGCTGGTTTCAGAGGTGGTAAATCAACAATTCATCAGATTACAACCCTGAAACAAATTTTAGAAAAAACACTGGAATATGGCATCATCATATGGCAATATCATCACACAAGACTTTACGAGCAATTTGAAGAAAAGTAGTTTCATGTCACACAGAAACAAAATTAAAGAATATAAAGAACACATTACAAACTGTGGAATATTTTGGCTGTTTTTGGCAATTTTTGACGTACTTCGGGGATTGACGTTCTTCTTCATCGATGGAGAAATAATCGGTTGCTTCATGTTCGGAAGTTCTCTAGGCTATCAGGAATAGAAAAATTAAAGTATTTCAATATTTTTGATTACCAGTAACAAACCTTAAGGTATTGACAAACAGTTCCATTATATCTTGCGACCATTCTGTATAATTGAGGATGGAAAGGCGTAGTGCAAATTTTCTTAATACCCAAGATTTTTATTAATTCTTGCCATAATTCTGATTCAAAATTTCGTCCTTAATCAGAATGTAACAAAAGAACTCCATGTTTTGATATGACGTGTGGTACAAATGCTTCTGCTACTGTAGTCGACTCTTGATTAGGAAGGGGTGCAATTTCAGGCCATTTTGGAGAATAATCCATTGCGACCATTAAGTATTTATTTTCTCTTTCTGTCATCGGAGATGGACCGAGAGTATCCAAGTCGTTCAAAAGGTTCTCTGGAAATATTGTGCCATTTTACCACGACTTTACAACTTCTTGTTCTAGGACGGTTTCTATCGTTACATGAAACACATTTCTTACACCAATTTTCTATATTTCGGTGACAATTGATCCAGTAAAATCAGTCTTGAAATCTGGCCAGTATTCTTTTGACACCAAAATGTCTGGAGCGTCAGAAAATATATCTAAACAGATGTTGTTAATAATTGTAACACTATGATACTTTCAACACTCATAAGAAGATTAAAGAAACGATCACAGGAAAGCTTTTTTGATGATTACTCTTTTCTTGGTAGCTTCTTCATAGTCATTATCAAGCCATTCGATTTTATTTCTTTTATTGTTCTTGAACATTTTATTTTGGTAACATCTTAATAATATCTTCTATGCTTTGCCATCTCTCATGTGATGGATTCGATCGTTACTTGATGGAAGTTTATTTTATTTAAGAATAAAACACCGAAAACTTTTTTTTTTGCACTTTTACAAAATTTATTACAATTTATTTTCACTATAGCTGTTTCGCAGAGTGCCTTTCTCTAGTAATGTATTTTTACTACGAGTCTACACTTCATAGCCTTTAATAAATGAATAAGTTTTGTAGGGGGAAGCTATTTGTCTCAAGTTGGCCAATACAGAATTATATATCTTACTTCTTCTTCTTCAAGTGCCCTGTCCGTTGCGAACGTTGGCTATTAACATGGGCAATTTTGATCTTGTTTGCGGCGCTTCTGATTAGTTCGACCGATGTGAGCCCCGAACCACTTCTCGCAGATTTTGGAGCCACGAGTGTCTTCTCCTGCCTGGCCCTCGCTTACTGTCTATTTTTCCCTGGACAATCAATTGTAGCAGACCGGTACTTATCGTGTCTCAATATGTGGCTAGATATTCAAGCTTTCTTTGTTTAATTGTATTCACGATTTCTTTCTCCTTTCCGATTCTTTGGAGTATCTCTATGTTGGTGACATGTTCGGTCCAGGATATACGAAGAATGCGTCGGTACACCCACATTTCGAATGCTTCTAGTTTTCTCGTTAGCGTCTCCGTCAGCGTCCAGGCCTCCACGCCATACAGCAAGATCGGAAAAATGTAGCATTTAACTATACGTAGTTTTAGGGGAAGAGACAAATCCTTGCTTATGAGGAGCTGTTTCATATTGCTAAATGCTGCTCTAGCTCGTTCTATTCTCGCCTTAATTTCTATGGTCTGTTCCCATTTTGTATTTACGTTGGTGCCAAGGTACACATAAGATTCTACATGGTCAATTAATATGTTACTTATCCGTAATTGTCGAGCAGGTTGTTGCTTTTTGCTTATCAGCATCCACTTTGTCTTCTTGAAGTTGAGGCTCAGGCCGTATTCCTCACTAACTGAATTAAGTCTTTCCATTACTTGTTGTAATTCGTCTATGGTACTGGCAAGGATCACCGTGTCGTCGGCGTATCTTATATTGTTCGTTAACTCGCCGTTTATTTTAATGCCCTCATTTGCATTTTCCATACATTTGTTAAATATTTCCTCGGAATACATATTGAATAGGAGTGGGGATAATATACACCCCTGACGGACACCCCTTTTGATCTGCACGCTTTCAGTGAGTTCGTTGCCAATTTTTGCTCTTGCTGTTTGACCCCAGTATAGGTTTGCCACAATTCGAATGTCCTTGTCGTCAATACCTGTCTTTCGCAGAATACCTATCAATTGTTCATGATTGACATTGTCAAAATGCTTTTCTAAAAATCTACAAAGCACAGATACACGTCTTTATCAACGTCTCTACACCGTTGTATAAGCACTGAGAGAGCGAAAATTGCTTCTCTAGTTCCAAGTGCTTTCCGAAAACCAAACTGCGATCTATCAATATTTGACTCACATTTATCATATATTCTTCTGTGAATGATCTTAGTGAACGCTTTAGTGACATGATTGATCAAGCTTATGAGCCGGTAGTCATCACAAATCTGGGCATTTGGTTTCTTCGGGATTGTATAATAAATGTTGACTGTAGCCAGTTCTCCGGGATTTTACCGCTATTATATATGTTGTTAAAAAGTACAACTAGATTGTCAAGGAACTGTTTGTCTGATTTACATAGGATCTTTAATATTTCGCAGGGTACATTGTCCGGACTGCTGACTTATTGTTTTTTAGTGCCTGCAATGGCATCTTCTATCTCCGATTTAAGAATTGAAGGTCCTGTTTCTCCTTCTCCATATAGGTGATCATCAGTCCTGTTAGATGCAAATAATTTTTCTATGTATGATTTCCATGTTTTTTAAGATCGTTGATGGCTCCGAGATAAGATTTCCATCGCTATCTTTTATGCTGTTGGGTGACTTATTGAATTTCCTCTT